AAAAAAAAAATGTTATAGGTATGAAAAAGAGAGAGAGAAAAAAATAAAAAAAAAGTCTAAAAATGAAAAAGAGAAAGAAAATTAAAGAAAATTAAAAAATTAAAAAGGAGGAGGCCAACATGTGGCCTCTATAGAGGCCAACACATGGCCTCTTTAAAAGCCAACACCTTGCTCTTTTAAGTATGTAATAGATAGATTTTATTTTATTAAGATGTTTAGAATGCATTTTTGTAAGACATTTTTTTTACCAGATTAAATAAAAATGGCAAAAAATACATTTTATGTCCTAAAAATATACCTGAAGGTATTGAAAAAACGTTTTTTAAAACCTGAAAGTACCATTTTAATATTATAAAAAATACATGATACTAAAAGCATATTTCACTATACCACAGAGTATTAGATTAATTTTATCCCTTAATTTTATAATCTTATTAGCTATGCATATAGATAAAAATGTCTTGTTGATATTTCTATGACAATGTCTGTTTTTTAAAGTCCCGTTGTTGTCCATGTCTGCAATATCAATCAATTTTCATAAGTATATTCAAGATATTCTTCGAAAAGTCCACAATATATTTAAAAACAAAGGGAAAATTTTCTGTTTTGCACAAAAATCAATTTTGTAGCAAAATGTTATTTTACATTTTTTTTGATAAAATACGATTGCATATGTCACTACATATCCATAAAATAATAATATCCAATTTACTTAAGGATTAACAATAATAAGAGATAAAAAAGTATATATGCAATTCAATTATTGTATCTTGGGTTGATCAAGATCAAAGTTTACTTAGGAAACGTTTGGTATGAGAGTTTTAGAACTGCAATCATAGTTCTTGTTCAAACTAGTGTTTATTTATAAAAAGTAAAAAGTGGTTCTGATTTGACTCAACAAAATCAGTGTTTAGTTTGAATGGTTTTGATTCAAGGTTTGAATCCTGATATGATGTTTTAAAGCATAATCACCCATAATTCTAAAACCACCCCCTCCCTTGGTTTTGCGTAGTTCAAACCCCTAATTCTGATTATAGTTTCAGAATTATGATTTGGACCTAAAATCATGAATCATAACTCTAGTTCTAAAATTAAAACTAGAATCACATTTATTTAAACCTTCATACCAAATGGAGTCTTAATCTTTTCCACTTGTTAGAAACTACTTTTTATTAAAACCACTTAAAATTTTTTTACTCTAATAGTTACATTCTATGTACTCTATTATATTATTGTACATTAATTATAATGAGTATAATATTGGAATTATGATTAATATTAAAAAAAAAAGAGAGAGATGACAGATTTAAGAGTATTTTGACAAGTATTTTTCTTTGGGGTAATTTGTACTTTTATTTTTAAGTATGACTTTTTAATTAGTGTTTGAATAGTGTGTGAAATAATAATTTTATATTTAAGAATAATTTTTGAATCTATTTAAGTTAAAAGCACTTATTGTTATAAAAATAATGTAATAAAATGATATAAATTAGATATTTCATTTATTGTTTACAAATAAAAAGTTAAAAATGTAAATAAGAAAGCTTTTCACAAATACATTTTTCATAAACATCAAAGAGATATCTTATTCTAAAAATGTTTAAAAAAATTAAAAACATTTTAAATTATTCATCTAAACAGATTTAAAAACGATATTTTTAAATAAGTCAAAAATAACTTTTGTTAAGCCATTCAAACGGTCCGTACTACTACTTTGACCAAACTTAATAATAAATAAATAAATAAAAGAGAGGAGACCGAAACTGCCAGCGCTGTAAATTGCCTGCGCCACCACTTTGAATACCTGAAGAATATTAACATCTTATTACCAACACCCTATTTTTACGTTTATCATCTCTCTTTGGGCCAGAGGAGAGAGAGGAGAGAGAGGAGAGAGAGAGAAGCCAGAGCACGAAAATCGAGCAACAATGGCTGCTTGCAATGTCAACTCAGTTTACTCAGCAGCATCTGTTTCAGCCATTGTTGCACAGCCAAAGCTCCAATCCCGTACGTCTCTCTCCCGATATAATCCCAATCCAAATCCCAAATTCCCCAACATTCTCCTCTTCTCGTCTCGTGGCGTTGACCTAATCTCGCGTCGATCCTCTAGAACTCCGAATTTCCTGGTGAGATTTCTTCGAACTTTTATTGGAATTGATTTAATAATTGCGAAATTTAAGGAAAATTGATTTGTTTTTTATTTGATTTGCTAATTAATGAGCAGGTTTTGGGGAGTTCTAAGGCGGAGCCGCTGAGAGTGATGATATCTGGGGCTCCTGCTTCTGGTAAGGGAACACAATGTGAGCTCATCACTCAGAAAGTATGTTACACTTTTACGCCTCATGTTTTCTCTTTCCTTTCGTGATTCATTCAATTTTTGGCTTCTGATTTATTTAGTATGGTTTAGTTAGTATAGTTGTGTTTGAGGTGAATGATAATCTAGAATTAGTTTTCTAAGAACTGAATAAAGGTATTTGAGTAATTAAAGTGGTTTGTTCCTGTTAAGGAGGAAGGAAACAAAGTTAGGGGGGCTTTTTTCCTTTTTCTTTTTCTTTTTTTTTTTTAATTAATAAACCTTCCTTTCATTGAAATAATCATCAATTACAAAGGAACGGGGATGAGAAAGCCTCAAAACACTGAAAGAAAAAACAAAAATGAAAAATCAAACAAAAAGAAAACCAAAACTAGCAAAAAGAGCTTAATTTCCTATGACATCCAAATTTGTGGGGTAGTTTAGGATTGGGTTTCTTTCCTAATTACCCCAATTAAGCAAGGACCTCCTTAGTATGCATTCTTGATTATATAAACACATCAACCGATAGGGTGGGGGCAACGGGTAGTTTAAACAAGAACAACAAAGGGCTAGCTAGGACGTAGGTTATTTGAAAACATTTGATGTAGACTAAAGAGAACACATCCATATGGTCTTTTTTGGTTTCTGCATACTGTGAAGAAACAAATTAGTGTGTTTTAGATGGATTTAACTTATATTAAAAATTATTCCGTGTTTTATGGTAGTTGTGGAAATTGGAAAGAATTTTATTGGAATTTCTTCCCCGCCGATGTTACAAGTTCTCTATTTCCTTGAGATCTGCATGAGGTTTCGAGGTGTTTCTCCATGCCTGACCCTCTCGGGTTTTGCTTGAAATTTTGCAACACCTTTCGACAACCCTGTGCTTGATAGATGTGCAAATGAAGCAAATGTTTCACAATATATGTGATTGTGGACATTATCTTGTTTACATAGTTCATTTTTGTGTATCACGTTGATGAATTTGGTTTCCGTATTTTTTGCATTCTACTACAAGTTGATCTTTTGTCCCAATTATAAAGTCACAGGATTAGATTATGAATATCCCATTTCAAAATTACTTTGCAAGAGACTAACATATTGAATCAAATATTGCTCTGTTTGCAGTATGGCCTGGTGCATATTGCTGCTGGAGATTTGCTTAGGGCAGAAATTGCAGCTGGGAGTGAGAATGGGAGGAGAGCAAAGGAGTGCATGGAGAAAGGACAATTGGTTCCAGATGAGATAGTTGTTATGGTAATACAACGTGTTCATTTAACATGTGATCATGCTGTTGGTGATTTCCTTGTTTCTATCCTGTAGATGGTGAAGGAGCGCTTGTCAAAGCCGGACTCTCAAGAAAAAGGCTGGCTTTTAGATGGATATCCTAGGAGCTCATCACAAGCAATTGCTCTCAAGGGATATGGGTTTGAACCAGATATTTTTATTCTTTTAGATGTAAGAGTTCATTTTTGCTGCTGTTAGCATCTTTTTTATAAATGTTTTACTTATGTGGAAAAAGGAAAAAAAAA